GATGGGTATGTCAGATGCGGTGCGGTTGGCGCAGGATAGAGCAGGGTTTAGAGCTGTTGTGCATAGGGTCGCTATGAGTCGGAAACGACTCGATGGCACCTAACAACAACAACATCAAACTTCTGGAAATTAAGTGGCTCAGATTTGTCTTTTATTTCTGTTGATGGGGGTTTTGTTATATTTATATGTGATTTTAGATTAATCTAGTTTTTCTTAGAATGTTCTAATTTATCTTTTAACCTGTGTTATTTCAATGTCTTTTTCACTAGATAGATACACCTTTTTGCCAATAGAACCTCTTCCTCATCATACTCTAACCAAGCTTACCTATAATTAGTCTTTTAAAATGTGTAATTTTATTGTTGAGTTCAGATTTTGTAACTTTCTGTTCAGGTGCAAGTTGATGAAGGGATCCCTCTGAAGATTTGCTTATCACAGTTCTGTAAATGGATTCACAAGATTCAGCAACAGAAGGAATTTGTTTTTGCTACTGAGGTCTTGAATCCTTCCAGTTCCAAAGTAAAATTATGTACCTTTCTTACTTGGTCAGGTAAAAATTAAAAAAAAAAAAAATCATACCCTTTCTTCATAAGTGGATAGCATCTAATTCTTTATTTCGAACAAGATTTATATTTGTTAACCTTTCCAGTCAGGGAAAGAAATACAGGTGTGATGTTAACTTAAAAAAGTACGCTCAGTAATATTTTTAAAAATTACCATTCTAGAATACTCTAAAAAAAAAAATTAAGCCTTAAAACTTGAGATAGATGAGTCTTTTTGTTCTGATACCAGGTGAATATAATTAAGTGAAAACTATTTTCATGCCCTTGTATTACAACCTTGACAAAAAAGTGTTCTCATTTAGCTTGTATATATCCTTTGCTTCTATACTTAGGGGCTTGCCAAGTTGAATTGACACAAGGACAATAGCAGAGCTCAAGTGTGTCTGAGATTGTGGGGTTGGCAAAGGAAAGGGCAGGGTTCATATCTGTTGTTTATAGGATTGCTATGAGGCATACTCAATGACACCTAACAACAACAACAATGTTAACACAGAGAAGAGGTAAGAATTTAAAGTAGGCCTTTTGTATGATCATAATATAGTATTACAATTAATTGTCATTGATCAGAGTGCTTTATTATAGATTGTAGCATAATATTGGTGGTTGTGTTTGTTTTTAATTTGCTATGTTTCCTAAATAGTTTCCTAGAAAGTTGAAAGCAGATAACCTTTCCCATATAGGTTTTAAATTTATATCTTCTTTCAGAAATATTTCACTTACTTTATTTGGGTGTTTTGATCATGTTGCAAGTTAATCAACAATCTAATTTATTTTTATTATTTTTAATTTTTTATTATTTATTATTATCATTGTTGTTGTTGTTGTGTGTGTGTGTACCGTCAAATTGGATCTGACTGGTGCAGGAGGAAATTGTTTCTCCTTCTCCAGCAGGGGCATCTGGTGGACTTGAATTTCACACTTCTGGGATTGCAATGCAGCTTCTTGCCACTAGGACACCAGAGCTCGCCAACAATCTAACTTCTTAATAGTTTTGTAGTTGTTACTGTGTGCTTTGGATTTGGAATCAACCCGTATCTGATCCTTCTGCGGGTTTTCAGAGGCAGTAAATTCCTTATCGTTCTTCCATGGAGCAACTGGTGGATTTGAACTTTGAGATTGCAGCACAGCTGCTTACCACCAGGCTGCCAGCGCTCCCCATAGTTATGCAGAGCTAATCATTATTAGATATTAACAGAGCAAGGAAAAATTGCTTTTCTGTTTTATATCATCTCCCAGTATTTTGCTGATATATGTATGTATAAATAATGGTAGCATGAGTAGAAAATGTTGGCACCATTGACTGTGTTCTCTTTTATTGCACTTCCTGCAGACTGGGACTTGGGAGTTTGCCTAGAGTATGAGTGTAAAAGAAAACAGCTGTTAAAACCTGTCTTCTTAAATTCTTGGATTGATCTCAGAGCCACTTACAAGGTAAGGGTCAAAAGATGACATCTTTTCCATCTTTTGAAAAAAATGATTAAACTTTATCCCCCACATATGATTATGAGTTTTTAAAAAGAAAATATTTTCTTTTTGAATGTCCACTTAAATGCTGTTAGCTGCTGTTGACTTAGCTAAAATAACAAAACCCTACTCAGTCTACCACTATCCTTCCAATATACATTATACTTATATAAGATACATTATACAGTATACATTTCATATGAGTTCTTCTGCATAAATGCAGTTCTTTAAATAATCGAATGTAACAACAAAAGTAACTACATTCCAGATTTTACAGCCCTGGAAATCACAAAAAATGAGTGATCAGTGTGTAGCTGTTCAATTAGTAATAGGGCTTTTCCATGTATCTTCTTTTATCTCCTTAGTTTTTCTATAGGAGAAAACCAAAGGGACTAAGTGGTGCCTTGCAGGAGGTGGGACTAGAATTCTCAGGACGAGAGCACTCTGGTGAGTATAACATGAAAGTTATTGTGTAAATTACGAGAGTGTTTTACTTTTATAAAACATTTCATGTGAATCCCATTTCTTTTATGTTATTAATCGTAAGGAACATCCATCAACAACTTCTGATCCTACAAGTCAGCGAGACTGTGTTCATAAACTATTATGAAAGATTGCCATCTAGTGGTTAAGAAGCATGAAGAGCCTTAGCCAAATCAAATGGAGATGAGATAGATGCCCAATAACACAGTGGACTAGGGAAAAAGACAAGACTTTGAAAAGAAAAAAAAATTCCTTTCATTATTATACAGTCCCCCCTCCCGAAGTCCACAGTCCACTTTACTAGGCATTTCTTTTTCTGTAATCTTGTCATGAAAATTATACCTAATCCTATATTTCTTTTAAATAGTTCTCTCCCTCATCTGTTTCAATGCAGTATTTATTATTTATTGGGCAGGGATGAAAATATGCAACAATGAATGAATGAGAGGGAGCTCTGGTGGCCTAGTGGCAAGAAACTGCACTGCAATCCCAGAGGGAAGTGGTTCAAATCCACCAGATGCTCTGCTGGAGAAGGAGGGACAGTCTCCTCCTGTATCAGTCAAATCTGATTTGATGGTACACACACACAAAATAATAAAATTAGGGAGCTCTGGGAGCCGAGTGGCAAGAAGCTACACTGCAATCCTAGAGGTACGCGGTTTGAATCCACTAGATGCTCTGCTGGAGAAAGAGGGGCCCTCTCCGCCTGTACCTGTCAGATCTGATTTGACAGTACACACACACAAAATAATAATAATGAATGAATGGGGGGAAAATTAAATGGAAAGAATATACTGTAAAAAATACCTATGTCGCATTAAAAAATCATTCACAAAAAAATTAAAAAATTATATTGATTTACATACAAAAAAATTGCAGTATTTAAAAAGTATGATAATCTGGCCACTATTCTTCTATGTTTTGGTCAAAAATTCTGTAGAAGAATCCTGATCAAAGAGAAAATGTAGCACAGAAATTTTAAATTCTCGTGGTTTCCATACTTCAGGGAGCCATGGAGGCTAGGGCAATCACTAGAAATACTGTTCTGAGATAATTGTTAAGCCTTAAACCAAAAAGATTCCCTCAAGGTTTTTCAAAGGAAACAGTAGTTTAATTTAATAATACCTGCCTTGAGCATTGTCTTCTTTTTAGATCAATCTAGATGAGATCAAATTGCCAACACCAATTGGAAAGAATACATAGAAAGTTTAGAGCAGTTGAGTTTATGTTAAATGGGAGAAACAACTCAGAAAAGGAGAATGGGGATGGTTACATAAGTCAAAGAATGGTATTTGTATCATTGAATTGTACATTTACAGCTTATTGAGTTGATGTATATTCTGCTGTGTGTATTGTAAATAACAACAGCAAAAATGTAAAAGTATAATAAAATGACTCACCTAAGGTTTCTTTTGAAGGTCAGAAACTTAATATAAGTTTCTTTAAATAATGAAAAAAAAAGTAGAGAAGACTACTGGGTCACTTGCCCATTTTGATTCTTACGTTGGTCGCATTTTGTAGACCACTTAACGAGTGAAGGGTTTCTTAGTAAATGTAGAAGACCTCATGTTTGGGTGGTAACAGCTTCAGTTTATCATGGCTAGAAATAGTAGATGATCATAACATTAGCTCTGTGGTCCATCTTCTGTATGCCACCACCATCAGCTGCTATAGAGGTGATTCCAACTTACAGTGACCCCGTGTGTCAGACTAGAAATGTGCTGCATCAGATTTTTTTTTTATCGTGTGTACCGCCAAATCAGATCTGACTGGTACAGAAGGAGATTGCCTCTCCTTCTCCAGCAGAGCATCTGGTGAATTCAAACTGCGTGCCTCTGAGCTTGCAGTAGGATTTTTTTTTTTAAATAAAAATTTTATGCTGGTTTACTCTGTCGGGTTTTTGAAGACTGCTTTTTAAAAAAAGTACAGTCAAGCATCATTTAATATCCACGGTGTGTTCAGTGAAGGAGGACACATTAAGTGATTTGGACATTGTGTGAATGTAATATTATATACAGGCAGTCCCTGGATGACAATTTCCATTCTTAAATCTGTCTTCAATTGAATTTGTATAGAAGTCAAAATTCTTGTGTACTGTTGAGTCATAAATAACTCATAGCTGACCCTCCAGGTTTTCAGAGATGGTTTTATTGCATGAGGGGAGATTGCCCACCTTTCTCCTGTGAAACAGCTGGTAGATTTGAACCAAGTGCATGTGGGTTAGCAGCTTAACTTTTTACCACTAAGGCACCAGAGCTCCCTCAGTCAAAATAGGTATGTTTTATCTCTATAGTCAGTCAGTTGTTTATCTTGATGCATATTGCATATTGTGTCTTTATGCCTAAGGAACATTAAAGAAACACTCCCAGATGCACTAAAACATTTTTAACATAGTAATACAGAAATAATAAAGATGCTGCACTACAATCCCAGAGGTACGTGGTTCAGATCCACCAGATGCTCTGCTGGAGAAGGCGGGAGCAATCTCCTCCTGTACCAGTCAGATCTGATTTGATGGTACACGTAAAAATAATACAATAAAAAAAATAAAAAAAAAAGAAATAATAATGTTATGTTGTGTATTCCAAAGTAACACTTTTTTTGTTTATTATGAACCTGTTTGATGTATGTTCCTCGAATTTTTAATATAATTGGCTTTACTGAGATTGGAACCAAGGACGTATATGTTGTTGGTCATTGCCAGATGGACATTATGTGGTTCATGACTATAAATTCCCAGCCTTTTCTTCCAAGGCACCACAGGCGGGCCATAACATCCTATCTGTTGGTTAGCAGTTGAGCACATGGCCTGTTACACCATCCAGGTACCATAGTGTCCGTGGTTTGGGGTGTGTCTGTGTGTGTGTGTATTTATCATTATGCTACTGTTACCACGTTCAGTGCTAAATATCTGTTTCCTCAGGGTTGGATGATTCTCGAAATACTGCCCATCTTGCTTGGAAAATGATCAGGGATGGTTGCTTGATGAAAACTACGAGATCCTTGAATAAGGTTAGTAGGTATCTTGCTTCTATTCTGCCCTTTCAAACCTGAGGAATAGTCATAGGTTCATTGGATTATAAATTTCATATCATCACTTATGCATGGTGGCACAATGGTTAAGTGCTTGACTGCTAATTGAAAGGTTGGTAACTGAAACCCAGCTAGCCACAACCTGTGAGAAAAAGCTAGCAATTTCAGAAGGCCCTAGCAACTGGTGTCCATATAGATTATAGCCAAGAAGATCCTATGGGGCAGTTCTGCTCCATAACATGAGCTTGCAACAAGTCAAAATCAACTTGGTAACATATAACAAGTCATTTGCAAGCCAATCAGTGACATTTTCCTCTTTTCTCTTGTCATGTGTGCTGAAGAAATGACAAATTCCATTTCTAAAGCTATTGAACTTGTCTGTGGAATCGCAGGTACTCTCTAAGAGGAATCCCAGCCTTCTTGCCAGAAATGGGAATACAAATCAGGTTGAAGAAACATCTGACTGCAGCAGTGGGACCTGCAGTACGCATATATCTGATAAGGAGCCTAAGGGGGAAACAATTGTTGATGAAAAAGTTAACAAGGAATTGGCTTGTGTGAATTCTTCTGGAAAGATCCAGCAAGATGATTTACAACTCAAGAAAAGCAGTGTAAAAGCAGGCCTTCGCAATGCCAGAAGTGATTTCTTTCTTTACAACAGTAAACCCATCACATCTCTGGGACAGTTGCAATCTTCCAGCTTGAATTTACCTGCTGACTTGCAAAAGAAAATAAAAAATGGACACCTTGCATTTAATGCCAAATCTGGCTCTTCCAAAGTCAGCCCAGGATTGGTGCTTGTTTCTACCACCATTTCTTCTGTCAATCGTGTTTCTGATGTGGAAATAAGTTCTGCCCTCGACTCTTTACCTATGTTGGCTGACTGGGAAGATGTAGCCTTACTACCAGCGTCACAGCCCGAGGAAAATGCAGACTATGTACTTCCCATTAGTAACGCCAACTTAGACACATCATTAAATTATGCGGAAGGATTAATGATTTTGAAGGAACCTGAACTGCGGGGCCCTGAACATTTTGGAAGTAGAGAGGAAACTCCTCAAACAACTGAGACCCTTAAGTCTATTGTTTACAAGAGCCCTCACACCACTATTTATAATGTGAAGAAAGTCCAGGACCCAGTGTCAAGTGTTTCTACCTTTAAGTTGCCTGAACCTAAATCAAGTACCTGCAATAGTGTCAATGCCAGTGTATCTCTTTCTTCAATTGTGGGGGGAAATCATCACCTTTCAGACAGTACTAAAAGGAATGCATCTAGTCCCCCAATTTTTCCACCAGCCAAAAAACAGATCTTCAGGATTTACGAAGAAAGGCATACATTTTCTGATCGCTCCCCAGTGGGAAGTACCACCCGGAAGGTTGTCCCCGCCATACTGACTTCTGCAGTTAACCTCCAGGAGCCTTGGAAGAGTGGGAAAATGACGCCTCCTTTATGCAAGTGTGGCCGAAGGTCCAAGAGACTTGTTGTTTCTAATAATGGACCAAATCATGGAAAAGTCTTTTATTGTTGCCCTATTGGAAAATACCAAGAGAACAGGAAAGCCTGTGGTTATTTCAAATGGGAACAGGCACTTCAGAAGGAGAGAGCCAACAGCATGGTTGAGCCTCATTCCCCTGGGGGACTTCCCTTTGCTCCTTCAGAAATAAGTCACACTTCTGAAAGAAATGCAAGGTTTTCTACTAACAGTTCTTTGAGACTGAGACCTTCCATGAGAACTTGAGACACTTGGCTTTATATCTGAGTTAAATTTTTAACTTTAATGTCAAGACACAAAGTGTGCAGAGCTGCCAGTTAAGAGAACTGCAGAGGCATAGCAGGATTTTGTAGACCAGACTGGGACGATGAAACTACACAGAAGACAAATAGAGAGAGAAACAGACATCTAAATCATTGCTGTTTCCATCTTCCTTTTGCCTTCTCTTTGTCTATGTGTGGATTCTGATTGCTCCTGAAAGTCGCAGGCATTAGGAATATTCTAGTAATGTCTTCCAGAGACCTGGCGGTGCAGTCATCAGGCTCTTGTATACATCTGTAAGTATTACAACCTTGGAAACGGATTCTCTTTGTTGTAAATAAAATTTTTATTTTATACTGGTTTACTTACAAAGTTTTTATACATTGTTTTTCACCCTTGGTCTTTCCCATTTCCTTTACCTACCCATCCCTCTACCCATCAGATTGTGCGAACCTATGATTACTCGCTGCCCATCCTCACCCCTCTGCTTCCATCCTCCCTCCCTTGGCTCGTCATACGCATTTTACTAGTTATCTTTCTGTTTCTACAATAATGGTCTTACACAGTATTTTTCCTTGTGGGACTGAGTTAGTTCACTTAGCATAATGCCCTCCAATTCCTCCCATGATAGCTAGTGATTTTCAAAATCATTGTTCCTGTGTATTTTGTAGTATTCAATCCTATGAATGTACAATAATTTCTCAATCCATTTGATTGTATTTGGACATTTGGGCTTGGAAACTGGTTCTGTAGGGCCATTTTCCTTGTCTCGTAGGGTCTTTCTATGAGTCCAGTTGACTCAGTGGCAGCGGAATTATTATTTAATAAGGTCTTATAATATTTGAAGAATTTATCCTCATTTCTTACAACCACAATTAATAGTTTTATAAACTCTTCACCAGATTAAATCTAGTTAGAAAGCAATGCATTTGATCCCCTTTGACATAAAATTAAAATTGAGGTATTTTAGAACTAGTATTATTTTTCATGTGTAACACATCTCACAGATAACACACACACATATGACACATACAGCTTGCATAGAAGACTAGTGTTCAAGGAGCTGTGTGGCTTGCAAAATCCTATTTATTTGTATAAAATGGAGTATTTTAATAAGAATGACTAATAAAATCCCAGTCTGTTTTCAGACACGTACTTGTACTTTTGGTTTTTGTTGTTGTTATGTTCCATTGAGTGGCCTGCGGCTCATAGCAACCCTATGTACAACAGCCCAAACCCTACTCTATCCTATGCTAGTCTCATTGTCTCTGACACACCTACCCCCATTACCCCAGTTACTTCAATCCATCTCATTGAGGATCTTCCTCTCTTGCACTGTCCCTCCACCTTCCCAAGCATGACGTCCCTCTCTAAGGACTGGTCCCTCCTTGCAACATGTCCAAAGTATGTCAGGTGAAGCTTCAGAATCCTTGCCTCCAAGGAGCAGCATGGTTTGATCCTCTCTAGGACAAACCTGTTCATTCTCTTAGCAGTTCATGGTATATTCAATACTCTTCTCCAACATCCCAGCTCTGGTCATTGTCCAGCTCTCTGATACATAGCAAGTGATTGTGAAAACTATGGCTTATATCAGGCGCACCTTAGTTTCCAGACTGACATTGTTGCTCTTCAGTACTTTGGAGAGGTCTCCGACAGCAGACTTTCCCAGTGCAATACATCTTTTAATTTTCTGGTTGCTGGTGCCAAGAATGTTGATTGTGGAGTCAAGCAAACTAAAGCTGTGAACAGTCTGAATCTCTTCTCCATCCATCATGATGCTGTCAATTGGCCCAGTGGTGAGAATCTTTGTTTTCTTGATATTGAGCTTCAACTCATACTGAAGGCTGCAGTCCTTGACCTTCTGCAGCAAGCACTTCAGGCCCTCCTCAGTTTCAGCAAGCAGGGTTGTGTCATTCATCTGCATAATGCAGATTGTTGATGAGCCTTCCTCCAATCCTGATACCACACTTCTCATAGAGCCCAGCCTCCTAGGTGATTTCTTCTGCATATAGATTGAAAGGTATGGAGAAAGGACACATCTGTATGAACAAGAGCCTGTGGTGATGAAGAAAGAAGTGCAAGCTGCTCTGAAAGAACTGGAAAAAAAACAAGGCCTCAGGAATTGATGGTATACCAAGTGATATATTTCGACAAACAGATGCTGCCCTAGATGTGCACACCAAGTTGTGCTAAGAAATCTGGAGGACCTGGCCAACTGACTGGAAGACATCTATATTTGTTCCCATCCCAAAGAAAGATGATCTGACAGAGTGTGGAAATTATCAAACAATATCATTAATATCACATGCATGCAAGATTCTGCTGAAGAACTGCCAGAAGTGCAGGCTGGGTTTAGAAGAGTTCATGGTACTAGGGATATTGTAGGTAATGTTAGATGGATCTTGGTTGAAAGCAGAGACTACCAGAGGAATGTCTGTGTTTCATTGACTATTCAAAGGCATTTGACTGTGTGGATCACGACAAACTGTGGCTGACTCTGAGAAGAATGGGCATTCCTGAACACTTGATTGTGCTTTTGTGAAACCTATACTTGAACCTGGAGGCATTTGTCAGAATCGAGCAAGGAAACACTGCCTGGTTCAAAATTGGGAAGAGTGGATGCTAGAGATGTGCCCTGTCTCCTCCTGTAACACATATTATTTTTATCCTTTTTCTTAGATTTTGTTAAAATTATTTTGTAAGACATGAGGAGTAGAGATCAGTAGTTTGGAAATAAGTATATTGAAAGAATTATTCCATTATGATTTAAAAACCAACAGTGCAGATATTTGATCCCAAATCACTTCTGTATTGTATGTGTACTAAGTACCATCAAGTTGGAACCTACTCATGGCTGACAACCCACCCACCCCATAGTGTTACTGAGGCTGTAAATCACACATGAGGATACTGCCCGTCTTTCTCCAGTCGCACCACTGGTGGATTCGTATTGCCACAGCAGCACCACCTTTGGGTTAACAATGCAGCTCGCTCTGGACTGGACTGCACATTTTAAAATTCTTTAGTAACCAATGACATTCCTTCTATGTTATTAAACTAAATGGAGAATGACACTCATCCAGAGGCATTTATAGAATGTTTTATTTAAAATTTCAGTCTCTAATGTTATAAGATGTTTTAAATCAGCAGTTTATAGGCATCCTTTTGGATTGTCTCCATTAATGTTTTGAGTTTGATAAAAATCTTTGTTTTAAAAATACTGTGATAATTAATGGAATGATTGAATTTAGATTGTTTCCCATTCTTTTTTTCTTAGTTCATTTCTTTTTATCTTCCCACTGACAGTCTTTGGCAGCTCTTGAATAAATTCTACCTGTTGGTATTAAGGGGGAGAAAAATTAGCCTAGAATTTCTTTAGGTAAAGTCCATTTAAATAGCAGATCTATGGTATTCTAGACGATAGAATTAGTACACCCACTAGAGTAAGATTTTTGCAATAACCATAAAAAAGGGGAAAGGATGTTGTTAAAATTTTCTCGGTTTATTATATTTAAGTTCAGTAACCCAAATGACCCAACAAATCAGATTAGGGAGTTCATTTTAATATTAAAGAGTCTCATTGTTCTTCATATGTCACCAGATCAGCCTAGGAGATTTAGTGTACCATTTTTGAGTAAAGATGGTCTGCCTCTGTGTTGCCCATCCAGGCTTCCTAAGCAGCAACTCTGAGTCTAGAACATGCCCTGAAAAGGCGGCTATTAATTGGGTCTCACTCTGTCCCAGCCCCTTCTCCTTATCAGAGAAACCTTCCTTCCTATTCTGGGCACACAGTCACTTTCTTCCTTGTTTACAAGACAACCTTCACTTGAGTATGTGTTCTGGTGGCAGATGGACAGCAGCTCCTCCAGCTGGGGCGTAGAAGAGGACTGGTGGGCATCTGCCCTGTGCTGGCCGTGAGGGACGAATTGCTGGCCATGGGAGACTGGTGCCTACAATTGAGATGACTCCCTCTTCCTCTTTTCTCTCATGAGTAGCACTAATAGACCATGTGGTATGCATCTTTTGTTGGCAGTTTCAAACACTACCCAACAGTTACAAAAACTCATCTTCCCACAACATGGAGAAAATATTCGTCACAAACAATACCTACCTTCCTTGGGTATTTGTAAGGTGCTGTAGTTTTTTTCACATGTTCCTGAATGTCCTTTTTTAATTGTTCTTGGTCACGTGACTTATAATCAGGTTTCAGAACGATAAAAGCCTTCACTACCTAAAACAAATATTTGAAATGCCAGGAAAATAAGTTGTTTCTGTTTTAAGATGTCTTGTCTGTTTCCCATAACTTGGAATCTAGGTACCTGGTTGAGTGGACCAGAAGGTTAATGAGGTTTGGTCCCAGCTCATTGTAGCCCTTTACCTCCTTGTACCCAACTCATGAGAGCTTTTGGAACCCAGGTTTTGTTATATCCTCACTCTTGAACCCTCTCATCCAGCTATATCTTGAGCTCTACCTGCAGCCTGTTTATAATGACTTATTACCTCCTCTTTTATCTCCTTTAATAAAGCTTTCTCTAGAAATCTAGCAGTGTACCACGCAGAGCCCCATGGGTAACAACACAGCCCAAACCATTTGGCATCTAGGTCTGTGTCCTTTCCTCCCACCCAGCTTGTTTGCCATGTCCTAAACTGTGAGAAAGTGTCTGTTCTTTAAAGCCACCCTCTTGTACTTTCTTTATGGAAGCATTAAGAAACTAAGCAGGGAACTCTGATGGCCTAGTAGATAAGGAGCTGCACTGCCAGTCTGAAGTCGAGCAGTTAAAATCCATGAGCTGCTTCGAGCAGGAAAGATGAGCATTCTCCTCCCATGTGATTTATGTCCTCTGAAAGCCCACCTTAGCGTCAGCTTAGAGAGGGTTCCAACTTAAAAGCGTGTAACAATACAAAACTAAGTACCTTTAAACCTAAACTGCCATGTAGTCAGCACCAGTAAGAGTGGACTTTCAGAACTCTCATCTTACTCATGGCTCATTTCCTGAACCCTCTATGGATTGACCTTCTTACCCAGCCTACTTCTGATTGCCGCAGGACATGTGCCTAAATTTGTCCTATTCCTTGATATCTAAAGCTAGCCTTTCATTCAGATCCTCTCTGGTATAGATTTTAGTCTTAATCATTCCCAGTTCTAATTTGCAAATTTCAGAAACTTGCTGATTCAGTAAATAAATTTCTGTCTGACTTGCACATTTAGTGAATGAACCATTTGAATAATCTCAGTGAACTAAAACTAATACACCAAAGAATGTGTGTTGAGAGTACAGAATCGAGGTGAATCCACGCCATTACCTCTCCCCTGATGGGGTCTGGGCTGCTGACAACTGCAGATTCTGCAACCGCTGGATGCTCAATCAGGGCACTTTCGACTTCAAATGGGCCAATTCGGTAGCTGGGAAAGGAAGCACACAGCTGGGCTTTATATAAAGGTGAGCAGCAGGTCCATTCCAGAACCATGATGGTCCATGAACAAAGACATGCGTGGTGATGAAAAAGGAGATTACCCAGAGGATAATATGATATCATCTGATCTTGCAACAAACCAGAAATACCCATCTTCATCCATATACCCCCTGTCCCCGGTGATATAGAAACTGCCTCGAAGTGTTGAAGCTGTTTTTGAAGGATTATCCTGCAAAACAAATAGCATTTTGTTACTGTGAATGTGGGGGTTTTTTTTCTGCTCACTTGAGTTTTTAAAAATTATGTGTAACACAAATTTTGCCATTTTAAAACACCTCAGTGGTGGTAATTGCATTCAGTATGGTGTCACCATCATCACTAGTTCTTTTTTTAAAAATTTTTATTATTTTGTGTGTGTGTGTACTGTCAAATCGGATCTGACTGTACAGAAGGAGATTGTCTGGGAGCTCTGGTGGCCTAGTGGCAAGGAGCTGCAACTACAATCCCAGAGGCGCATGGTTCGAATCCACCAGATGCTCTGCCGGGGAAGGAGGGGCAATCTCCTCCTGTACCAGTCAGATCTGATTTGACGGTACACGCACACAAAAATAATAAAATAAAATTTAAAAAAAAGGAAGGAGATTGTCCCTCCTTCTCCAGCAGAGCATCAGGTGGATTCGAACCACGCGCCTCTGGGATTGCAGTGCAGCTTCTTGCCACTAGACCACCAGAGCGCCCTTCATCACTAGTTCTAAAGCCATTTGGGTTCCTTTTGTCCTGTGTCTATGGACACAAAATGGAACTATCACAGGAGTGCAGAGGCTAGGAGAAATAAGTCTTGTTAATTCATAGATACCTAACACTGACAAGGAAAAAGAGACATGGATACTCAGTTAAAAGGCAGAACCAACCTAATAATTTTTGCACTGTGCTTTATTGTACACAAAAGCAAAATGTTGGTTCTGTAATTTTAGTATGTTGTTGTTAGGTGCTTTCAAGTCAAGTACAGCTCATAATGACCCTATGAACAACAGATCTGAACCTTGCCCTATCCTGTGCCAGCCTCACTACCTGACACACTAGAGCCCATTGCTGCAGTCTGTCAATCTACCTGGTTGAGGATGATCTTCTCCTTCACTGTCCCTTCCCAAGCATAATACCCTTCAAGGAATAGCCTCAACTAGCAATATGCCTAAAGTATGTGAGACAAAGCTTTCTTATCTTTGCCTCCAAGGAGCACTCTGGCACTGCACATTATCCATGACATGGTTGAAGTGTTGCTATCTTACCTATACTGACATGTATAGTTTGGGTGTTATGTTTCATTGATAGAAACTTAGGTCTAATTTATATATAATGATTAACGTAAAAAACTCATTGCCCTTGAGTGCCTCAGTGCCTCATCAGCACTGACTCCTGGCTGACCAGTAGTTTTTCAGAGGCTGTACATTGCATGGGAAGAGATTGCCTGTGTTTCTCCTGCAGAACCACTGTTGGATTCAAAACGCCAGAGAGATGTCACCTTCAGGTTAGCGCAGCTCTGTCCACTTGGCCCCAAGAGCCGCTCTAAGGAAGAAGCTGGGTTATCTCCTCCCGTGCAATTAACAGCCTCAGAAACCCCATGGAAGGAGAACTGTGAGAGTAGATTCTAATTTAGAGGCAATGAGCTGAGTTAGAGACATTAGAAATGCCGCTTGCTTATTAATGTTTACACTGGATCCCCTGTCTTGGTTGGTATTTGGGACATGACTCAAGACAGGGTCAAGCACCTAGCCAAGGTATGCCTTGTGGTAAGGGATAGTTGCTAAGCACACAGGTAAGAAAGAAAAAGAAATCTCTTACTACATAGCCTGTAAAAAGGCCAAGTGGTCGGTTAGGCAGAACTTGAATTCCAATATCTCCTTCTTGCCCAGGAGGTAAAACATTGCCATTTACATCTACAATCTAGGAGAAAATAGAGCATATATTTAGAGGAATTCTTATTTTGTGGCTCTTTTTTGTTTGTTTTTGCCATTTAAAAATACAGACCTCACAGTTTTCTAAGTATATGTTAAACTTCTGAAAGATAGTATTTATTTCCATCCTTAGACAATAAAGTATCATAAAATACAGCTACCCAAATATGAGAGAAGACTAAAAATCATCTTTAATCACACTACCAAGAAATAATCACATTTAACATTTTGGTCATGTTCTTTGAGATAAAATAGAATTGCATTAAAATTTTTGGTTTTCAAAGATATTTCTTATCTTTTCCTCTCAGTAAGTATGTAGATTTTTTTAAAAAGAAATATTTTTCTAAACATTTGATCAAAGATAAAATGCCTGAATTAAACCTAAGTTTGCAGTACACAAGACAGCTATAGAAAACAAACATTTCTTGAATAGTATTTTAAAAGGGAAAAGTATCCTTTCAGTAAAGGAGGACAATGGAAGAAGAACTCCCCATCCTGCTGGACCCCTTCTCTTCCTAACCTACAGGATGATTTGAGGACCTCCTTACCAAGTGTAGATACTTTAACTGTTGAGGGTTTGCCTCTCCACCTACTCTCTATAGCTCCCTTCCATTAACTTCATGGGATCTTCTGACTTTGTATCAAAGATAATGCTTTTCATGAAGAGGAAGGGAAACATTTTTTAAACTTCAACTGAATTACTGCCGGGTTTGCTCTGAAAGCATCCATCCTGAAAGAGCATGTTCCGTGACCAAACACCCAACCAGATAGAAGCCATCTTGAGAGAAGAAAACCTACAGCGCATGCCCTGTAATGACTCAACAATTAATTGGGAAGATAGCATCCTAGAGGCCAACTGTGTGGCCTACTGATTTGCAGAATCAGAACATGTAAGCAGAGAGTTTAAGATAGTAACTAAGAGGAAACAAAAATCTCAGCTGTTACTTTCCAGATCTTTTCATTTTATCCCAGATTGCCAAGGATTGAGGAGAGTCCTGAAATGCCTGATTGTCAATGGCAGAACTCAGGCAAATTGGGCAAATTGAAAAACATTAGTCACGCTAGACTCCATCTATAGCTCCAGAAACTAAGGCTTAGAAGGTCTTAATAGCTTACAAAAAAATCCCTCAGCTAATGAGTATCAGAGCCAGATTTGAACTATGAGGTAGCCCTTCTCTAGCCAAGATTAAGTGAGAAGACCCACCATGTGCTTTGTTCTATGAACAATGACAACAACAGTCTCATCTGAGCTTTCTCAAATCTTCTTGATTATATGAACGACCTAGCATACTTCTTAAATATACAGATTCTAAGGCCCCATTCAAAGTCTGTTGAATCAGATTCCCCAGGGAAGGGTCTAAAAGTAGTTATTTTTTGCAAGTGCCATAGTGATTCTCAATATCAGATAAAGTTGGGAAACTGATATAATCTGCTACTAACCATCAAAACTTAGTTCTGAATTCCCTACACATACAATTCATCAATTTTGTATTTTGCTACTGTTTTATGTATTAGTATAAATATCCTAGGGTAAACAGGGCTATGTTGATGTGACAAGAATTCTAACCTTAAACAAAGTGGGTAGATAGATAAATAATAGGCCCTCTAAAGATCAGATAGTAGTAATGGCAGTGAGTGAGTCGTGTTCCACAGAGCCCAAGACCAGCCAGCCAGAACTGGGGCAGAAAGGGAGGTTGCTGCACCCTCAGTAAATCATAGCCTGTTTTGGCCTACTTGGTCCCTCAGAAGACCATGCCCTCCTGCACTGAAGTGTGCATTTGTGGTTCAGGGACTCCTAGCTCACTCAAGTTACTTAGCTCTTTGTACTTCATCTGTAAATTAGTTCTGATGTTGTTGTTACTTGCCATCTAGTCACTTGGGACTCACACCAACCCTATGCTCAGTAGCTCTGAACTCTATCCTATCCTGAGCTAATCTCACTGTCACTGACACAACTGTCCCTATTGCCCCTGCCACTGTGTCAATTCATCTCTTCCAGGCCCTTCCTCTCTGACATTGTCCCTCCACCCTTCCAAGCATAATGTCCAAGAACTGGTCTTTCCTTGGCAGCATGCCCGAGGTATGTAAGTATGTAGGATTGGAAGAGGCTGTGGCAGTGGAGACATCATTGCCAACGTCAGATGGACCTTGGCCGAAAGCAGAGTACCAGAGGAATGTCTATCTCTGTTTCATTGACTATGCAGAGACATTTGACTATGTGGATCACAACAAATTGTGGTTCACCTTGTGAGGAATGGGAATCCCAGAACACTTGATTGTGCTCGTGCAAAAGCTATACTTGGACCAGGAGGAAGTCCTCAGAACAGAGCATGGAAATACTGCATGGTTCAAAAGCAGGAAAGGAGTACATCAAGGATACTTCCTGTCTCCATACCTTTTCAATCTATATGCGGAACAGATCATTCAGGGTCTGGTATTTATGAGGAGAAATGTGGGATCAGAATTGGAGGAAGACTTATAAACAATTTGGATTATGCAAATGACACAACCTTGTTCACTGAAACCAAGAAAGACTTGAAGCATCTTCTGCAGAAAGTCAAGAATTGCAGTCCTCAATGTGGATTGAAGCTCAACATCAAAAAAAGTAGATATTCTCACCACTGGGCCAGATTGTCAACAATTTCAGCTTGCTCAGGTCTACAACATTCTTAGAACCACCAGCCAAGAAATAAAAAGATGGATTGGAAAAGTCTGCTGTCAGGGACATCTCCAGAGTGCTGACATACAAAGATGGCAGTCTAGAGACTAAGGTGCACCTGATCCACGCCATGGTCTTCACAATTACTTGCTATACATCAGAGACCTGAACAATGAATAAGAATGATAGAAGAATATGCCTTTGAGTGTGGTGCTGGAGAAGAGCATTGGACGTGCCATGGATGGCCAAGAGAATAACAGGTCTGTTTTGGAGAGAGTGAAACCAATATGCTCTCTGGAGACAAGGATTTTGAGTTCTAATGTTAGTTTCAGTGCTCAGGCCTTTCTCATGGGGTCGCTATGAATCATCTACGACTCGACGGCACCTAACAACAACAACGTTAGTATATCTCCAATATGTTCCCTATGAGAAAGAAATGAGTTAATACCAGACAAATGCTTAGAACTACATGGCACAATATAGGTATTTACAAAATATATATTTTAAAAAGAGATCAGCAACCTAAAGCTTCTACTCCATATACATCTTTGCTTGGCAGTAGAGACCATAGTAGCAAGAATTGTGACCAAAACAGCAGATGAGTGTAGAGGAGATATACAAACCGTAACATCAAAAGCAGGAGAAGGCTTTCCCATTGAGCCGGGCTTAATTTTCATTCCCTTAAAATTCCCACAGATTAGCACCTAGTTAGGAGAAAAAGTAAGATAGCATTACAAGTAAATTTGAACCAGACACAAAGTCCCTTCTCTCCTAGAGCACAGATAGAAAGCTCAACATCTATTTGGAATAAAGTTATATTCTGTCAAGTCGCCTGCGACTCATAGTGACCTGTGTACAGCAGCTCTGAAGCCTGCCCTGTCCTGAGCCAGTCTTGTTGACTCCAATATACTTATCCCCATTATCCTAGTTACTGTGTCAATTCATCTCATCCTGGGTTTTCCTCTCCTGCACTGTCCGTCAGCCTGTCCAAGTAAGATGTTCTTCTCCAAGGACTGGGTCCTCCTGGCCCAAAGTATGTGAGACAGAACTTCAGAATCCTTGCCTTCAAGGAGAAACTTGGTTTCACCCTCTCTAAGACAAACTTACTTGGTTTTTTGGCAGTCAATGACTCTTCTCCAGCACCACCACTCAAAGGCATCAATTCTTCTCTTATCCTTAGTTATTATCCTGCTTTCTGATGCATAGCAAGTAATTACAAAGACCATGGCTGGATCAGGCACACCTTACTAAAGTTATCACATTCAGTAAATTTAAAATTACTGAACTAGCCATATTAATAATAAACCAAAAACCAGAGTCATTGCCATTAAGTCAATTGTAGCTGTTAGTTACCCAGTAAGACAAAGTATAACTTCCATATAAGGTTTCCAAAGCTGTGATTTTGACAGAAACACAGCCATATCCTTCTGTAGGTCAGCCTGTGGCTTCAAACTGCTGACCTTTTGGTTAGCAGCTGAGTGTTCTTTAACCACAGCACCACCAGGATTCAACCCTCCACAGTAACTTCTATTTTTCATCAGTGTTTCATTTCTTCTTATCCTTAATTATTTCTCTGACCTCTTTTAACACGTTGCCACACACTTTTAAGTTGACGACCGTGCTTAGAAACACATTTTGCCGTCATTTGCGGCAACGTGTTAAAAAATTCTTTTTAAAAATATGTTTCCCATGCTCGGTTCACCAGCACATACACTAAAAATGTTTCCCAAGGAGTGGACCAGTAAACTCCTACTGTTTCAAAAAACAAGTAAATCAAGAGTTTTCTCTTTTGAGGCATCCTTTAGTAAAAGTAAGGTGAAAACTCTTTTTAAAAATAGGGACGTTGTTGCTATTGCATGCCATCGAGTCAAATACTACTAATAGCAACCCTATGAACAATGGATCAAAACCTGCCCTATCCTGAGCCATCCACCTCTTCTCTAACATATTTGAGCACATTGCTGCAGTCATTGTGCCAGTCCATCTGATTGAGGGAGTTCCTCTCTTTGATTGACCCTGTACCTTTCTAAGCATGATGCCTCTTTCCAAGGAATGGCCCCTCTTAACAACATGTTCAATTTATGGGAGACAACACTTTGCCATCCTCTCCTTTAAGGAGCACTCTGGCTGTACTTTCTCTGCGACAAATCTGTTTGTTCTTTTGACAGCCCATTGGATAGTCAGTGGTATTCTTCTCTAGCACAACCCAAAGGCATTGATTCTACTGTCATCCTTATTCATTGTCTAGCTCTTGGATACATAGTAAATTACTTAAAAGACTATGGTTTGAATAAGGCACACCTTAGTTTTTAAACTGGCATTGTTGCTTCTGAGTCCTTTGGTAAAGTCCTTGTCTTTGCCAGTGTAATACATCTTTTGGTTTCTTGACTGCTGGCACTGAGAGTGTTCATTAAGAGAACTATGTAAGATGAAACCATTGACAATGTCAGTCTTTCTCCATCTTTCATGGTGTTGCCTAGCATCTCAGTGGTGAGGATTTTTATCTTCTTGATGCTAAGAGGTAATATCTATTGAAGGTTGTTGCAGTCTTTGATCTTCTGTAGCAAGCACTTGAAGTCCTCTTCAATTTCAGCAAGCAAAGTTGTGTCATCTGCTGATGAGTTGTCCTCTGATCCTGTTGCCACATTCTTCTTCATAGAGTTAAGCTTCTCGAATGATTAGCTCAGCATACAGATTGAATAGTTATGGAGATAGGATACAGCCCTGAATTTAAACCATGCAGTGTTTCCTTGCTCTGTTAGCCAGCAGCTTCTTAGTCTACATATGGGTTTTGTATGAGCACAATTACATGTTCTAGGATTCTCATTATTCTCAATGTTAGCCATAATTTGTTATGGCCCACCCAATCAAATGCCTTTGCATAGTCAATAAAACGCAAGTAGCATTCTTCTGATTAAGGCAAGCTAGGAAGCAAAAGTAGTCATCTTCTTCTGAAATAACAGACCTTCAAAATCCCTGTGAGTAATTAAGGACAAGTTAAAGTCCAGATTGGAAGTCACTCAAAATGAGGAGAAAGAGCTGCAAATATCCATTAACAACTGGACGCATACTTTGGACATGTTGTCAGGAGGGGCCAGTCGTTGGTAAAAGACATTATGTTGGGTCAGGAGGAGGATCAGAGAGAGGAAGACCCTCAACAAGATAGACTGACAGTTACTAGAACAACGGACTTGAGCATTATCAGAGGTCATGAGGATGAGTCACTGTGAGTGGTAGTGGATTGGGTGGCACCTAGCAGACACTAATGCTTATTCATCTCACTCTGTTGGGTCTAGCCTTGCCCCTTCCATGAAGTCAGTGTACCGTTTCAGTCTGTCCGTATCCTTCATAGATATCCAGGCCCGTCTTGTTTCTCCATTGCTCAGTCACTTCGGGGTTGATGGGTTCTCCAGCAGTCACACAGTGCTTTAAGCTTTTGAATGTGTAGCTTCTCAGAAAATCGAATGAGTTCGATTGAGGAGGGAAAATGGAGAGAAATGGCTATTAGGGTTATTTCAGTGGCTTTCCAATATAGACAGTGTTTTATTTACTTCCTGACTCTCTTCCCCACTACATACCCACAAAAATCCCCCAACATAAAGGACACACTACACTTTGTCTGTGTTGTTTTTCAGAGGAGGTGCTTTATTGCAAAGAAAAGTCATGGAAAGAACAGTCTTAATTAGGGGGGAAAACTCGTTGCAATTTAGTCAACTAAACTAACAGCAGCGCCATAGGTCAGAGTAGGACTGTGCTCTCTGTAAGGTTTTCAAGAGTTGAGCTTTTGGAAGTAGCTCACCAGCTCATTCTTTTAAGGTGCATCAGGTAGACTTGAACTACCAGCCTTTCAGTTAGTAACTGAGTATGTTGACTATTTGCATTACCTTCAACAGTTCCCTTCACTTAGTGACGGTACCACTTACTAATATTTTAAGTCAAAGGTGAAAAGTTTAAGGAGTCTTGGTGGTGCAGGGATTAATGCATTCCTCTGATAACCAGAAGGTGCGAGGTTTGACTCCACTAACTGCTCCACAGGAGGTGGAAGCAGTCTGCTTCTATCAAGATTGCAGGCCCGGAAATCCTGAAACCAGTTCTGCTGTGCCCTGTTGGGTCACTGTGAGTCAATGCTGACACGATGGCACTGGGGACTTTTTGGTTTGGATTAGAAGCGTGCCAGTGTCTGGTGAAATTGACTCTGATATATTTCTATTATGAAATGCTTTACAGTTATAAAAAGGATGAGGAAGTTTTTAGACAGTGCTGTCTGGTAGGAGCTACTGTCATGCCAGAAATATTCTCTAATCTGCACTATAACAAGCCCTGGTGTGACTGTTGAACACTTGAAACATAGCTGGTGTAACTGAAGAACTGAATTTTTGATGTCATTTTTTATTAAATAGCCCTATAGACTGTTGTTGTTAGGCTACTGAGCCTGAATGCTATTAGATGCCATTGAGCCTGAATGCTGTTAGATGACATTGAGCCTGAATGCTGTTAGATGACATTGAGCCTGAATGCTGTTAGGTGTCACTAAGGCTGAATGTTGTTAGGGGCATTGAGCCTGTGTGCTGTTAGGTGCCATTGAGCCGGAATGTTGTTAGGTGTCATTGAGCCTGAATGCTGTTGGGTGCCATGATCCTGAATGCTGTTAGGTGTCACTGAGCCCGAATGTTGCTAGGTGTCATTGGGTCTGAGTGTTGTTAGGTGCCATTGAGCCTGTGTGCTGTTAGGTGGCATTGAGGTGTCATAGGTACCTTATGTGCAGCACAGTGAATCCCTGTCTGATCCTGCACCATCCATACAAATCTCTATATTTCTAGGGCTTCATTGAAGTCAGTAAGTTGGAGCTCTGGGGGTCTAGTGGCAAGAAACAGTGCTGCAGTCCCGAAGGTTTGGGGTTCAAATCCACCAGATGCTCCGCTGGAGAAGGAGGGGCAATCTCCTCCTGTGCCAGTCAGATCCAACTTGATGGTGCACACAAGAAAGCAAAACAAAACAAACAGTGGCAAGAAGCTACACTTCAATCCCAAAACCATCTCCTTGAGAATCTTCCTGTTTTTCATTTACTCTGTACTTGCCGAAGCATGATGGTTTTTTTCTCCAGGGATTGACTTTGGACATATGTAGCAAGGCTCTACCACAACATTGGACCATACTGTTCTGGAGTCTAGTTTTAGGCAATAAAACAAGATATAGAACTCATGTGCATGTTATGCTGTGAGTCATGGCTAACTCCCTGCTGGGTTTCCAAGACTGTGACTCACTGGTAAGTTTGAACTGTTGGCAGAGGTGTGGCTTTGGATTAGCAGCACAGCTTGCTACAGACCGAACCACCAGAGCTTCCTGTAAAATAGAGAAGATGTGCATGTTGGCTTGTGTGTGTATGCATAGGTTTATAGAAGACTGCACAAGAAATTGGAAAAATTGATTGGCTCTGTAGAGAAGACTGGAGACAGTGATTGACGGACTTTTCAGTGCATGTTCTTTTCACCGCACCTCCCTTGTGTTGAATCAGATCCAGCTGGCACAGGAGGAGGTTGCCCTCCCTTCTCCAGCAAAGCATCTGGTTGATTTGAACCATGTGCCTTTGAGATTACAGCACAGCTTCTTACCTCTAGGCCACCAGAGCCCCCCTAGTGCATGCTCTCATATACCTGTTAAATTCTATGGCATGCCAATGTACTCAGCATATTCTCTATTAAAAATGAGATAAAATGAATTTTAAATGTTTAGCGCCCTGCCCTTACCAATAATACAAAGACCTTTTCTTTTTTAGTTACTATATTAGGGATCCAAATGAGAGCAGCTATTTCTCTACTTTCTCTGTTCAGATAGCAGCTATCATTCAAAAAATTAAATCCTACCTTCAAAGGTTAAATCCTCGCATTAGGGAACTAATTAGCATACTCATTTACAGAATATTAGTAAGAAGGAGAGGGAGGAGTAGCTGAGCTTCCAACCTACTTGTCTGAAGCTGTGTTTTTTAGGATGAATACGCTCATTTTAATCACTTCCTCAAGCCAAAGTCACCCAACCACTGCCCCTGAGTTGATTCCTATCTGTAGCAACACTCTAGGACAGAATACTTTTTTTTTTGCATCAGCAATCTTTACCTAAGCAGAGTGTCACATTTTTCTTTTATAAAAAGCCTAGTGAGTTTGAACCACTGACTTTTTCCATTTTCAGCTGAGTGTTTAACCTCTGTTCCACCATGGTTCCTCTCTCTTCTATTGAGTGCCAGTGTGTCCATATTTCTTACCTACTCATATTATTCTGCACAAGCATTCGGTATGCAGTCGGAGCAGAACAAAAGACGGTGATGGGAAACTTGGAGAGTGTCTGCAATATAGAAGAAGAGAACTCTGGCCTTATCACAGCTATATAAGAAGTACTTCAATGTCAATGCTAGGCACAGTATCGGCACCCATACTTTTTCCTCATATACCTTTCCAGATTCATCCTAGAGAGGGTTAAGTCAGGCTGCTCCTTAGAGGCAAGGATTCTGAGGCTTTGTCTGACATACTTTGGACAGGTTGTAAGGAGGGACTAGTCCTTGGAGAGGGACATTGTGCTTGGGAGGGTGGAGGGACAGTGCAGGAGGGGAAGGCCCTCTATGAGGTGGATTGATTCAGTGACTGGGGTAATCGGGATGGGTGTATCAGACACAGTGCGATTGTCACAGGACAGAGCGGAGTTTAGGGCTGTTGTACATACGGTCGCTATGAGTCGCAAGCGACTTGACGGCACATACCAACAACAACAAACCTTTCCAGATACACTGACTTTCCAGATGTGCAAGATCTTAAATCATTTTATTGATTCTGATATCTACAAGTTACAAGTCCTGCTACTCAATATCAAAGTGCTGACTTCTTGGGCCCTGCCTTACTTGCAAGATAGTGGCTGGCTCAAAATGAGGCAAATAATGTGCAAATATACACGCTCCCTGGGTCCACGGAGCGAAGACACTACTCCATGCAGACTTTGCCCAGCCAGTGTCTGAGGTGTTCCACATCACATCCTCAGGTGTCAGATCCAGCCAGAACCTGGGAAAGCAAAGAATAGCCCTGATGGGAAGAGAGTAAGAAAAGCCCAGCAAATGTGTGGCTGGCTACCTTTGCAGTTTACATCAAATCGCAGGGTAGTGTGAATACCTTCCGTTCACAGATAATCCTAAGCCGAAACTGGTGTGGGTGTGTTCCGTCATTTTAGGGGACCCGCTGGTCCCACTTGTAAAGTAAATGGCCATCGCCTCATCGTGTTTTGTCTTCACGCACGTGTGATTGTCACTGACATGCCTGCAAAGGGAAGCGACAGTGATTCTACGCGTGAAACACACAGTTTCAAAGGCCATTCCCAAAGAATGGGGATTGAAAATGGACTTTTACATCACATGGATAAGACCTTAGTTCACTTAGATTCAGTTTGAAGTTAAATGCCATCTTTTTATATTTATATTTCTCATAAAAATAAATTATGTATTGATTTATGAGATGATTATATATATAAAACACAAATAAAATTTATTTTATACTGGTTTACTTTAAAAGTCCAAAGCCATCTTTTTAGATACTTTCTAGAATCAAGCCAACCTTGCCATCAGTATTTAAAAAAAATCCACTTCATAGATTTTTCCTGAATGACAGAGAATTGTTGAAGCATTTTAAACACTCAAGAATTTTTTCATAATCTTGTTCTCATGGGCACATGAAGAATAACTCTTTCCTTTCGCTGTAGATACATTAAATTGTTTTTCTCCTTACATGAGTATGTTAGAAAAAGTATGGTTAGTGGTATAAAATAAGGTTTGATGAACTATAGACGTGGGTCAGTCAAATTCGGCATGCTTCCCATTTTTGCAATAAAATTCCATTTCAACACAGGCATGTCCGTTCAAGTACATACTATCTGTGGCTGGGTTTATGCTACGATATAGGAGGTGAGTAGTTGCAAAAGAGATTCTAGCCTGAAAGGCCTAAAATATTCCCTATCTGTCCTTTTATTTAAAAAACAAACAAACCAAAACCAAACCAACAAACCTGCCAGTCCCTGAAAGAACTGTTTCCCATGGAGTTTACATAGTCCAAGATAAAAGAAGCAGGAAGATAAAGTACTCAAGTTAAACAGAAAAACGAATTTTCATTCCAAAGGATAGTCCGACTTCTGTCTAAGTCTCGCTTCACCCACACTCACTGCTATTAAGATGAGTCTGGTCCATGTTGACCCTATGAGACAGAGCAGAACCTCTCCACAGGGTCTCTAAGGCAGCAGTCTTTATGTCTGTAAATGGTCACATCGCTGACTTGGAGAGCTGCTTGTGAGTTTGAACCACCAAGCTTTTGGTTTAGTAGCTTCGTGCTTAATCACTGGACCACCAGGGTTCCCTCTTAGGATTCCCTCGTCATACATAAGGGCAGCTGAAGGGAGGTAAGTGCTGTGCCCCTGTGCATCACATGTCTACGAATCATACCGATTTATTGAGGGTATTTAGCAGACTCTAGTGAATGAATCTGAAATATCCAGGCCATGAGAAAATATGAAAAGGCTAACTTCGAAAGCTTGCACAGTCACACCAAGTATTATGATTACTAAGAGAATCCTTTATCCGGGACTGTCTCTGTACAGTGACATACATGTTATTTCTTTCTTACAGTTTTACAATTACTAATAAAATGAAGTTTGACTTTATCAACTGAAAAAAAAAATAGTACCTATGTTTGGGTACTCTATCAGAAAACTAAGAAGATTAATTTACTGATCTTGTTCTATGAGAGATAGTAAATGTAGTGGTTGAAAGTGTAAGAGGCCAAAGTACATGGATCTGAAGCCTAGCACTTCACTAGATTCTGGCACTAGGCCTTATTTGCCTGCATAATTATAGTTGTTGTTGTGGTGGTGTACAGTCAAGTCAGAGGCAACTCATAGTGGATCCTCCAGCGAGTTTTCAGAGGCAGTTTAATCACATTAGAAGAGATTGCCTTTCTTCTGCAGACCAGCTGGTAGATTCCAGCTGCTTATCTTTGGGATAGTGATACAGCTCCTTACCACTATTGTTGATTGCTGTCGAATTGAGCACGACTCATAGGGACCCTATGAACAAAAGACCTGAAGCTTTTCTATAACTATCACTGTTTCTCAATGTTTATAGAGTTTCCAGAAACATGTTGGTTAGGAAGTGGATGCCACTCCTGCTTCCCAACTAGGCCAGCAGAATTCCACAATTAAAGTAGCCAGCAGCTATTCCTTGGAGTAGCTGGATCAAAGAGTTAATACTCTAAGCTGCTGTTTCATTACCTATATGTCACAGGTTGCTCATGAGGCTTCCTCCAATCCAGATGCCACACTCTTCTTCATAGAATCCAATTTATTACAGAGTTTGCTTAGCATACATGTTGAATAGACACTGTGAAAGAATACAACCTTGATGCACACCTTTCCTGATTTTAAACCCTGCACCATCCCCTTTTTTGAAAACAGCTTCTTTCTTGGTTCACGAACAGATCTGCATAAGCACAATTAAGTGTTCTGGGATTCCCATTTTCAATATTACTCACAATTTGTTATAATCCACAATGTCAAATGTCTTTGCAAAGTCAATAAACACAAATGAAAGTCTTTCTGATATTTTCTGCTTTTGGCCAACAACCATCTGACATCAGCAGTGAAATCCGTCATCCCACGACCTCTTCTGAATCTAGCTTGACTTTCTGGTAGTGTCCTGTCAATGTACAGCATCGGCCAATTTTCAATAATCATCAGCAAGATTTTACTTGTGTGTAGTAATAATGATATTATTCAATAATGTCTAAATTCTGTTGGATTTTTTTTCTCTCAATGGTAACAAATGTGGCTCTCTTCTGGTCAGTTAGCTAAGTGGCTGTCCTCCAAATTACTTGGCTTATGAGCGTGCCTCGTGTTGTCTCAGTTAATTCTGACTATTCCCAGAGCCCTGTTTTTTGCTAGGCCCTTCGGTGCAGCTTTGATTTCTTCCTTTGGCACCACTGGTTCTTGAGCATATGCTACTTCCTGAGATGGTTCTGTGTCAAGAAATTCATTCTTGGTCACAGCACACAGTGATTCTCTGTATCACTTCCATCATCATTTGATGATTTCTGCATCATTCAATATTTTACCTATAGAATCCTTTGTTGTTGTTATGTGCCACTTGCGACTCATAGCGACCCTGTGTACAAGAGCTCTGAACCCTGCTCTATCCTGTGCCAACCTCACTGTCTCTGACACACCTACTCTCATTACCCTAATCACTGAAACGATCCATCTCATCAAGTCTTCCTTTCTTGCGCTGTCCCTCCACTCTCCCAAGCATGATGTCTCTCTCCAAGGACTGGTCTTTCCTTGCAACATGCCCAAAGTATGTCAGACGAAGCTTCAGAATCCTTGACTCCAAGGAGCAGTCTGGTTTCACCCTCTCCAGGACAAACTTGTTTGTTCTCCTAGTGGTCCATAGTATATTCAGTCCTCTTCTCCAGCACCACAGCTCAAAGGTATCAATTCTTTTTCTATCATCCCTAGTTCAGCTCTCTGGTGCATAGCATGCAATTGTGGAGACTATGGCTTGGATCAGGTGCACCTTAGTCTCCAGCCTGACATCATTGCTCTTCAGTACTCTGGAAATGTCCTTGACAGCTGATTTTTCCTAATGCAATCTGTCTCTTGATTTCCTGGCTGCTGGTACCAAGAGTGTTGACTGTGGAGCCAAGCAAACTAAAACTGTTAACAATCTCAATCTCTTCACCATCCATAATGATGCTGCCTTTGGCGCAGAGGTGAGAATCTGTTTTCTTGATGTTGAGATTCAATCTGTATTGAAAGCTGCAGTCCTTGACCTTCTGCAGTTGGCTCAGGTCATCCTCAGTTTCAACAAGCAGGGTTGTGTCTTCTGCATAATGCAGGTTGTTGATGAATCTTCCTCCAATCCTGATGCCACATTCCTCCTCGTACAGCCCAGCATTCTGGATGATCTGTTCTGCATATAGATTGAAAAAGTATGGAGACAGAGTACATCCCTGGCGGATTCCCCTTCCCAGTTTTGAACCATGCAGTGTTTCCTTCCTCTGTTTTGATGACTGCCTCTTGGTCCAAGTATAGGTTTCTCATAAGCACAATCAAATATTCTTGGATTCCCATTCTTCTCAGAGTCAGCCACAGTTTGTTGTTATCCACACAGTCAAGCCTTTGCATAGTCAGTGAAGCACAGATAGACATTCCTCTGGTATTCTCTGCTTTCTGCCAAGATCCATCTAACATTAGCTATAATACCCCTAGTACCATGGCCTCTTCTAAACCCAGCCTGCACATCTGACAGTTCTCTTTTGGCATATTGGATAATTTTCAGCAGAATCTTGCTTGCATGTGATATTAATTATATTGTTCAATAATTTCTACACTCTGTCGGGTCACCTTTCTTTAGAATGGGAACAAATATCGATCTCTTCCAGTCAGTTGGCCAGGTGGCTGTCCTCTAGATTTCTTGGCACAATTTAGCACATCCATAGCAGCGTCTGTTTGTTGAAATAAGTCAATTGGTATGCCATCAACTCCTGGAGCCTTGTTTTTTTGCCAATTCTTTCAGAGCAACTTGAACTTCCTCCATCACCACAAGCTCTTGATCATAACATTGTTTCATGAAATTCTTCTGTGTCAGCCAATTCCTTCTGGGACAGTGACTCTGTATACTCCTTCCACCTTCTTTTAATGCTGCTTGGGTCATTTACCATTCTGCCCAAAGCATCCTTAAGTATTGCCACTCGTGGCTTGAATTTGTTTTTCAATTCCTTCAACTTAAGAAATGCTGAGTGAGTTCGGCTCTTTTTGACTTCTTTTCTGACTCCAGCTCTTTGCAGATCTCACTATAATACCTTGCTTTGTCATCCCAGCTGCCCTTTGAAACTTTCTATTCTGCTCTTTAATTTCTTGATTTCTTTCTTTAGCTTTGGCTTCTTGGTGCTCTAAGGAAATATTCAGATTCTTTTTATTCAGTTCTTTTAGCTTGAAAGATGCCAGACATGCTTTGATTTTCTAATTCTAGGAGCTCTGCACATTTCATTATACTTTGCTTTGAATTCTCAAGCTTCCTTTTGAAATTTTCTGTTTAACTCTCTTATTTATTCTTCTCCACATTCAAGAGCAAGTTTTAGAATTTCTTCTGAAATCCATTTTTTCCTCTTTTTTATACCAGTTTATTTATAAAATTAGAATACATTGTTTTTCAGTCCAGATTCTCCCAATTTCCCTCACCTCCCATCAAATGATACAACCTCATAATTAATCAACCTCCCACACATCCTCATCCCTCTGCTTCCATCCCCTCCTTGGGTCCTTTCTACAATAATGGCTTTATACAATGTGAGTCCTTGTGGGACTGAGTTCACTCAGCATAATGCTTTCCCGCCTCTCCCAAGCTAGGTAATAATTTACAAAATCATTTCTCCTGTGTGCTGCATAGTATTCCACTGTGTGAATGTACCATAATTTCTCAATCCATTCGATTGTAGTGGACATCTGGGCTGTTTCCATGTTCTTGTGATGGTGAATAATGCTGCAATGAACATTGGTGTACGAGTCTCCATTTGTGCCTCGATTCTCATTTTCTCAGGGTATATTGTAAGCTGAGGAATAACTGGATCTTATGGAATTTCTATGTTCAGCTTTTTGAGGAAGTGCCAAACTGCCTTCCAGAATGGTTGTACTATTGTACAATCCCGCTAACAATGTGTAAGAGTTCCTATCTTGCTACATCCTCTCTAACATTTATTACTTGCTGTCCTGTTAAACTTTGCCACTGTTACGGGAGTGAGATAGTGTCTCATTGTGGTTTTCATTTGCATTTATCTTATTGCCAGTGAATTGGAGCATTTCTTCATGTGTCTGTTGGCCATTCACATATCTTCCTCTGAAAATTCTTTCCACTGACATCTATTTTTGTCCTTTCTTTCTTTTTTCTTTTTTAAATTACCTTTGCTTTCTTCAAGTATGATGTCCTCAATATCACACCACCACCCCAAAACTCATCTGGTCTTAAATTGTTAGCATTCATCACAATTACAGTGTGTGAAATTTATTCTTGATATGGATTTTAAGTTCAGATAGATTTTAAATGCAAGGTCATATTTTGGCTCTCATGGACAAGTTGTCATTTTTGTCAGCTTCTGTTTGAGTTTGTATATGAGCAATTCATGGTCTGTCCCACAGTCTGCTGTGGGTCTTGTTCTGACTGCTGTTACTGAGAGTTTCCACCTTCTCTTTCCACAGGTGCAGTCAGATTATTCTGTATTTTCCATCACATGATTCAGTCAGTTTCCCTAGCAAGCAGCACAGTGGCAGGTGCTGTGATGTATTTTGGAGTGAAGTACATAACATACTGCAGGAAAGGAGGACTCAGTCCCCTCAGTTGCTAGGGGCCCTCTGTAAGAATCACCTTCACTGAAAAAAGGTGCTTCACACCCACACTCTTTCTTTCTAGGGACAGCCCTCAAAAATCATAGAGATAAACTCTTTTAAAAGGTTCTTCTTCCCTCCCCCCTTGAACTGTTTAATCACAGATTTCTCTAGGTTTTTTTGTTTGAAATAACAGTTTTAAATGACACCAGTTCATCAGAATATAAAATAGAAACTGTCTTATGAGTTTTACACTTAGCTCCTCTCATTTGTGAATTTTCCATATTAGAACAGACCTTGCATGAGCACAACATGGGATGGCTTTGGTTAAAGCAGGAAGCAGTCATCTTTTCCAGCAGGCACTCTGTTTAGGCTCAAGTTGTGTTTTTGTTTGAAAGCTGATCAATCTCATGATCTGTGATGGGATATTGAATGGAGTTATGCTGGGCTGCACTTCTGAGCCTTGGGCTCATTTGGAAATCAAATCTTCTAAGAAAACCAATGACCGTCTTCCATTGTTGCACAATTTCCCCCTTCTCTCCCACCCATCTACTTTGCTAGATGCCACTTAATCTGGACTATTGTCATGCAAATACCTAATCATATTTTTTAGACAGTTCTTTCCCTCATCTAGTTAAATGCAGTGTTTATTATTTATCCTCTCTTTTTTTTGTTTGCCCCCAGTCCCCTGTCAAGCCTGTTTTATAACAGTAGCATTATGCAATATTTGTCCTTTGGTGACTGAGATAGTTATCTCAGCATAATGTCCTCCAGGGTCAGTCATTTTGTATAATGTTTTAAAGGGAAAAGTGAACTGGGGGTGGGAGGTAGGGAGGAAAATGTGCAACAATGAATGGGTGGAAATCCAAGTTTTCGGTACTCTTCCGTTAAAATTAAAAAAAACCCCACAAAACCCACCCAATTAAAAAAAAACCCCAAAACAAACTGGAAACAAGTGAAAAGGGGGGGGGGGGAGAAAAACAGAGTTATAAAGACCTGGACCTCTTGGTTTGGTTGAGAGGAGCTGTGAGGGGCTACTGGACTCCAAAAATGCCTGGGGGTTGGCTGGGGCTTTAGAAGGTATGCATCACAGATCCTATTGTGGCTCTGCCCAATCCAACTGCCTTTCCCTACCTTTACAGGTTTTGCTCCCGTAAGAGCTCCATAATGGGCTTTTTAATCAGGATCTGTTTTGTGTGGATCTCAACCTATGGAATAATACATGCCTTTCCTGCCTGAGTGCCTTGCAGCATTGTTGTTGTCAAGTGCCATCTCGTTGATGACTCCTAACATCCCTATGAACAACCAATCTGAACCTTGTCCTAACCTCCGCTACCCACCTCCGCTATGCTCCAGCCCATTGTCACTGTCACTCTGTCAAGCCATCTTGTTGAGGGCCTTCCCCTCTTTTTCTGACCCTCTCGACCTTTCCCAGTAGGATATAATTTTCCAAGGACTGGCCTCTCCTGACAGCATGCCCAAGGTATGCGAGCTCAAGTTTCCAATTATTCCCTTACTTCCTCTTGTAATTCGCCTTTTACTGGTAGCCATTTGGTGGAACATCTTTTCCCTATTTTCTTTAGGGAAATTGCTCTATAACAGTTGTGGCTACTTACTTCATCATCTCCTTGAGGTTCCCCCACCCCTCTCTGGGGTTTTCAGACACGATTAACTTGGAGCGCAGATTTTCACAGATAGGTGCAATGGCATCCACAGCTGGGGCCAAAGCATCATTGGTGATAATGCACTTGGCTTTGGACAGTTGTAATCTGTAGAGGATGTCTTTCTGTGTTAGTTGTGTGGTTCCTGTAATTAAAACGGTCCCTAAGGGAGCAGAAAAGAAAGAACACTTAGAAGGGAGAAGTGGTAAGGCCCTCCGCTGTCAAACCAAAGGCATGCAGTTCAAATGCACCTACTGTTCCACAGGAGAAAAATGAGCACTCTCGCCCCATGTTGTTTTGTTGTTGTTGTTAGGTGCCATCAAGTCAAGTACAAAACTCATAGCACCCCTATGAACAAAAGATCTGAACCTAGTCCTGTCCTGTACCGTCCTCACACTTTCTGACATACAAGAGCTCATTGCAGCAGTCACTGTGCCAGTTCACCTGATTGATTGAAAGTCTTCCTCTCCTTCGCCAACCCTCTCACCTCCCCAACATCATGTCCCCCTCCAAGAAAGAGCACCTCCTAGCTATATGTCAAAAGTATGTGAGGCAAAGCCTCATCATTCTTGCCTCCAGAGGGCACTCTGGCTGCACCATCTCCTAGACATAGCTATTCGTTCTCTTGGCCATCCACGGGATGTTTGGGACTCTTCTCCAACACCACAGCTCAAAGGCGCCAAATCTTTTCCATCATCCTTACTCATTGTGTGGGTCTCGGATGCGTAGCTAGTAATCAGAAAGCTATGGCCTGAATTAGACTCACCTTAGTCCTCAAACTGACATCACTATTCCTCAATAATTTGGAAAGGTCCCTAACTGCAGCTTTTCCCTGTGCGGTGTGTCTCCTTATTTCCTGACTGTTCATAGCAAGGGTGTTAATTGTGGATCCAAGCAAAATGAAGCTGTTGATAGTTTCAGTCTCCTCTCCATCCATCATGACATTGCCTACTGGACCAGTGGTAAGAATCTTTGTTTTCTTGATATTGAGACACAATCTATACTGAGGCTGCATTCGTTGATCTGCAACAAGCACTTCAAGTCCTCCTCACTTTCAGCAAGCAAGGTTGTGTCATCTGCGTAATGCAGGTTATTGATGTGTCTCCCTCCAATCCTGGTGCCACATTCTCATGTGATTTACAGCCTCTGAAAACTTGTTGGAGTGTCCACTCTAGGTCAGCTCTGACTCAAAGGCACTTACAGTTTTAATTAGAGTAGTGCAAACAGGTCATACAAGTCTATGTTCTTAGAATATGTGAGTTAGTTTATCAGGCAAGTTGTCATCTTGTATTCCACCTCTTTTTAAATTTTGCTTTTGCCTTTGCCTTTTAAGAGATCTCAAAGCCTGGGACCCTTTTGATTTAAAACAAAACAATTATAAATGAAAAAAAAATTATTGTCTAGTAGATTCTGACTTGTGGTGACCCCAGGTAGTCCTAGGGTTCTCATGTCTGTGACTGTTCAGTAGGAAAATCCCAGACCCCCTTCTTCCAGTGTGCTTCTGGGTGCATTCATTCTGCCAACCTTTTTGTTTAGCTGTTGTTAATTGCTTTGGAGTCTGTCTGAACCGGCTCAGAGCTGACCCTTTAGAAGGTTTTCAGAGGCAATAAGCCACACAAGAGGAGACTACCCATCTTTCTCCAACTGAATAGCTGATGGATTCAAACTGTGTGCCTTTAGGTTGGTAGTACAACTCCTTACCCACTAAGCCACTAGAGCTCTTTGCTTAGTAGTGGTTATAATAATACCTTAGCATGACATTTGCAGTAATATGAAAGAGTGGTAAAAGGCTGAGTAATTGTCATCTATTTGAAGCCTATTAAGGAATTGAGCCTGCAAGAAGTTTTAACTGAAAATTGACCCAGCATTTATGGAGAACTTACTCAGCCTTTATGGAATACTTTAAACATGCCAGCTGCTATTTTCAGTCAGTTGTATGTTTCAGTTAATTTATTCTCCACCAACCCCACCCCACCCCCAACTCACAAAGCTTATAAAAACTTGCCCAAGATCACATAAGTAGCAACTGACGAACAAATGATAAACCTTACAGTCTAACCCCAGGAGTCTCGCTCAAAACTCATTGCCGTGGAGCTGGGACTGACTCATCGCTGACCCTCCAGTGGTTTTTTGGGCGGTATACATCACCTATCTTTCTCTTGCAAGGTTGTTGGTGGATTCGAATTGATTTTTGATTTGCGGCACAACTGCCCACAGACTACACCACCAGAGCTCCCTAGACTACTGAAGTATTAAAAAACACTGCCTTTGCATGAATTCCAACTCAGGAGCTTTTAGGACCAAATTAAAACTGCCCACGGGCTTCCCCATGCTGCACATTTTACAGAAGCAGACTACCACATCTTTCTCCTGTGGAGTGGCCAGGGAGCTGACCCTTCTGCCATCTGTAAGCACTCTAGCCACTGGGCCACCAGGAGTCCTGGCACTTCTGTACAGTACCCCCAAAATGCACCTTTCCTTTTCTGGAAGCCTGTTAAAACTTGCCCCGGTACTCGCTCATCTAATTATGCATGTCCTAGTATTTCAAAAGTCACCTTTTAAATGACACCACTCTCCTCCTTTTTAAAAACCTTTTTATTGCAATTTGAGTGAATGTTTTCAGAGCAGATGGGTTTTCCATTCAACTGGCCCTACACATTCTGTACTCTGACACTGATTGTTGTTGTTATGTGCCCTTGAATTAGAAATGACTCATAGTTATCCCTCCAGTAAGGACAACTTGAATCCAGTTTAGAGGCTGTAGATACAGGAGGAAATTGTCCATTTTTTTTCCCCCTCATGAAGCAGCTGGTGGATTTGAACTGCGTGCCTTTGAGTTGGTGGCACAATTCCTTAGCCACTAGGCTTCAATGTCCATATTGTAACAGCATTCTTTCCTCTTCGTCCTTATGAGTCTTAGTTCACATTTCTAATATCTCTCTTCTGACCTTCTGGGCTTTATCCCTGAGCAAATTCGACCCATGTGGTCTTGCAAGGCTAATTGCTCTAAGGACTGAGACTCTCTCAGGTATTATTGTTCATTTTATACTTTTGTCTATTGTTCAGCTGCAATTTATACCACAGAAGTAGGTGAAGTTCCAAGGGTTCCATCAGTCCTGGGGGGGTCTCATCAGTCTCTATCAGATCTGTATATAATTTCCTTTTCTTTGGTAGAATATACAGAACTTGCAACAGAGTTCATATAATACACATGAACAATTTTAATTTTTTAAACAATTTTAATTTAAAAAATAAGTATTATTCACCAACCTGTTTAAGACACAAAATTTGACAGAACTGTTTGAAGCTCCCTGTGCCTATTACCCTAGTCAAAGCTCTCTTCACTCCACCCTCTTTTTCAAATAACCACTATCAACAATCTTATATTTAATGCATGGGAATGATTGTCTGAAATGCAATGTGAATGAAGAATAAGGTGAAACACAAAGTATATGAACTTTGTAAGCAAACCAATTGTTGTTGTTATGTGCCTCTGGGTCACTTGCGACTCATAGCGATCCTATGTACAACAGCCCTAAAATCTGCTCTGTCCTGTGCCAGTCGCACTGTCTCTGATACACCCATCTTGATTACCCCAGTCACTGAATCAATCCACCTCATAGAGGGCCTTCCCCTCCCGTGCTGTCCCTTCACCCTCCCAAGCATGATGTCCCTCTCCAAGGACCTCCTTATAACATGTCCAGAGTATGTCAGATGAAGCCTTAGAATCCTTGCCTCCAAGGAGTTGCCCGGTTTAACCCTCTCTAGGATGAATCTGTTTGTTTTCCTAGCAGTCCATGGTACCCTCAGTACTCTTCTCCAGCACCACATCTCAAAGGCACCAATTCTCCTTCTATCCTCCTTAGTCATTGTCCAACTCTCTGATGCATAACAAGTGATTGCAAAGACCATGGCCTGTATCAGACCCACCTTAGTCTCCAGAGAGACAGCATAGCTCTTTAGTACTTTGGAGAGGTCCCTAACAGCAGACTTTCCCATGGTAATACGTCTTTTAATTTCCTGGCTACTGGTGCCAAGAGTATTGACTGTGAAGCCAAGCAAACTAAAGCTGTGAACAATATAAAAAATTTTTTTTCCAAAAAGATATGTCCTTTTATTAGAATTTTGATTATTCATGGATAATGATAATATTAACCAAATTCTTATAAGTTAACATATCAGCTCTGTGTGAGCAAAATGTTTCAAATTAGTTGTACAATAGGTTATTTCATTCTTTTACTTCTGGATGAAAAGAAAAAAACTTATCAATGTTTTTGTCAATCAAATAATGTATCTGTCAAAGAAAAATGACATCCACAACTGTAATTAACTCTGTAGATTGAGTGACATTGTATAGCATATAAAAGAGTTTGGAAATAAAATAAAATTTTTAAAGAATGTAAAAGCACCCCAGTGTTATAGTTATCATCCCCTGGTGATAACTTGGAATTTTATCACATTGTCATATAACTTTTAGTGGCAAAGGTTCAGGGGAAGGATGGGCAGTCTCTTCCCATATGATTCACTGCCTCTGAAAACCCACTGGAAGGTCGACCATTGTTTCTAATGTTGTCAAGAATTTCTTATCCATCATTGCTTCCATCTCATTCTCCCATGTAAGAGAAGCTCCCTGCCTCCCTGTATTCAGCCCACTGGCTATGATTATACTAGATGAGACTGCCTTTGGACTCAGCCAACTACCTGGGCAATGGACATGTAACCTTAGAAGCACCAAGGCAAAATGATGGGGGAGCAGAGAAAACAGTGGAGCGAAGGATGAGACAGAGGAGAAGGGTTGAGATGGACAGTCCTGCCTTTCAGAGTGAAACACTAGAAAAGGAAGTTGCCTGGAGGACACAGAGATGAGATGGCATCCTAGTGACACCCCCCCCCCACACCTGATGCATCTCACCGTCTTGAGAAAGAAGGGACAGGCCAGGAGAAGCCAATCCCACAGGATCCACATCTTTCCCTCTCAGAGCATCTGTTATTATGTGCCATTGAGTCACTTGTAACTCCTAGTGATCCCGTGTACAATAGCTCTGAACCCAGTCCTGTCCTGAGTCAATCTCACTGTCTCTAACACACCTACCTCCATTGCCACAATTACTGTGTCTGTCCATCTCATTGCGGTCTTTCTCTCCTGCACTGTCCCTCCTCCTTTCCAAGCATGATGTCTTTCTTCAAGGACTGGTTCCTACTGGCCACATACCCAAACTATGTGAGATGGAGCTTCAAAATCCTTGCTTTCTAGGAGCAACTTGATTTGACCTTCTCCAGGACAGACTTGTTTGTTCTCTTGCCAGTCCATGGTATGTTTAATACTTTTCTCCGGCACCACAATTCAAAGGCATCAATTCTTCTTCTGTCATCCTCATTCATTTTCCAGCTCTCCAATGCATAGCAAGTAATTGTGAAGACCATGGCTTGGATCAGGTGTACCTTAATTTCTAGACTGATATCATTGCTCCTCAGTACTCTGGAGAGGTCCCTAACAGCAGACTTTTCCAATGCAATTTGTTTTTTTATTTCCTGGCTACTGGTATCAAGGGTTTTGACTGTGGAGCCAAGCAACTTGAAGCTGTTAACAGTCTCATTCTCCTCTCCGTCTATCATGATGCTGCCAGTCGGCCCAGCAGTGAGAATCCTTGCTTTCTTGATGTTGAGCTTTAATCCATATTAAAGGCTGCTATCCTTGACCTTCTGTAGCAAATAACTCAGGTCCTCCTCAGTTTCAGCAAGCAGGATTGTGTCATCTGCATAATGCAGATTGTTGATGAATCTTCCTCCAATCCTGATGCCACACTTCTCATAGAGTCTTGCCTCCCAAATGATCTGTTCTGCATACAGATTGAAAAGATACAGGGATAGGATCCTCATGGAGCATCTGGTGAATGTTAATTTTAAGCCAGCAGTGTGCCATCAGAGCTCCTAATGGACTTTTCTAAGACACAGGGACTAATTAAGAAGAAAGATCATAGATATATGACAATTAACCATGAGAGGAAATATGGGCATGAAGCCAAAATGGGGATAAGTGGGCATGTGATAAGTTCAGTTGTACATGCTTTGAATTTCAGATGCCAGTGGGTCTAGAGGAGGAGAAGAATAGTAGATGTGAAAATATTCAATTATTGACTTCTCATTGTTTGACAAATCTGAGACAGAAAAGCTCCAACTCATCATTTAGGTAACAATAACCGGGTATGTGCAGAACAGAATTGTTCCATAGCATTTTCAAGGATGTGACTTTTCCAAAGTTGATCCCCAGGTCTGTTTTCTGAGGTGCCTCTAGGTATGTCTGAACCACCAACCCTTCAATTAGTGGTCAAGTTGTTGTTATTGTTGTTGTTGTTAAGTGCCATCAAGTTGTAGACAACTCATAGCGACCCTATGAACAAAAGACCTGAACACTTGTATAATTTTTATCGTTTCTCCAAGTTCATAAAATTCCTAGAGGCAAGCTATTTTGGAAGTGCATGCCACTCCTGCTTCCAAGCTTGTTTTAATCGGGGAGCTCCACCATTATTGTATTTGGCACATCAGTGTCAGTGTTCAGTATCACAGCAACCGTGAGTTATCTTTGTACAGCAATGGACAGACCAGTGCTATACCACTTAGAAGAATGTTTGACCAAAAACAATTAAAACCAGGCCTGAGGGCCACAGATTAAAATCACCCACCTTTGGCTTGGTAGCATCCACTAGGCCAACAGAGTGCTCTCTATGACTCACAGAAATTCTATGAGCAACAGATCCTTTCCCTAACCTACACCATCCCTACAATCTGAGACAGGCTCGAGCCCATTGCTACAGTCACAGTATCAATGCATCGTGGTGGTTAAGTACTTAACTGATTATGCCACCCAGGGACTTCTTCAAACATGAAATGACAGAAGTCATGCTGGGATGGATTTTCTAGTCATTGACGTCATTCTCCCTGTTTGACCAAGCGACCCTATGAAATCTCCTCCTGTGTAATTATATAAACTCGGAAAATCCACTGGAGGTTCAGCTGTGAATCTGTTCACGTTCACCAGGAATGAGTTTGAATTGTTCATGGTGGTTTTTCTGGTGGTGGTGGTGATGAAGATTACTAATGAGTTTGGTCAGTTTTGCTTAAACTCAGCAAGCTAGTGGAAAATGGGCATCTCGCTACCCCCAAGGAAGAAGAATCAGAAAATGCAGTGCATCCTTTGGGTCAGAGAGTCTTGCACGAACCAGAGACAGAGATGTAGGAGACTGAGAAGCAGTGAGTCTGAGACATGATAGCCCAATTGGCAGCCCCAGTAGTGGCAGTAGCGACAGGACAGGATCAGTGGCAGCATCGGTGGTAGCTACAGTAGAGGTGGCAGACGACCAGAGGCTGGTATGAGACAAAGGTGGAGCTGAGCACTTTGGAGCCTAGGTTTCCTGGTGGACTTGGAGTGGTATATCATTGATAGAACTAAGAGACTTTGCAACACTTGCCCAAGTTAGAGTTGAGGCCAAGGCATGAGGCCGAGGGTCAGGAAGAATCTGTCTGCCTTCAGGCTCAAACACACCTGAGAAGAAGCTGTCCTCATTGGAGAATGGATCCAGCATGTTTCCCAGCCTGAACTGTAGCTTGTAACCTCCTTAATACACCTCATGGTCATGTGTATCTGTTTCTTTTTAAATTGTGAGTTCTGTGTGGCTATTGCAACCAATCAAACCTGATAGGAAAGCAGTGAGAGTCTTGAGAGGAACAGGTGGTGTTAGACCGATCAGGAGGGATGGTGTAGGAGGCATGTCTGACCTTACAGGAATTGTCTTTGTGCTGCTGATGCAATTGACACTGATTCTTCTCCCATGTGAAGTCACTGGAGGTCAGAATTTGCCACCCCTATGCCTGCCACACTAGTTTTTCGTAGCAAGTAACAACAATTTAGGTCAACACATACAACATGTTCCTGAGATTAATCCTGTATCACACACAGTTCTTCATATAATATACCAAATAAACATCTCTTGGTTTCCTGAGATGTTTTGGAAAACATTGAGTATAGCTTACTTAGTTTAAATAGGATCATAGGGTAAACACGACAAACCTGTTCGGAGACAGGCCACATTTGCAAGCCACCACTCTGGGATCCGGGGCAGGATTGTAATTACTCGGTCTCCCCTCTGAAGGGCACAGGCTTCTGTCAGTATATTGGCAAATTTCCTGGACAAAGATCCCAGTTCCTCAAAACTCCATCTCACTTCTTCTCCATCTCCTTTTATCCACCAAAATGCCGGGTTGGAAGGCCTTTTTCCAGCCTGAGAAAAGAGAAGCCAGTCAGGATTTGTCAGGCTGGTGTGCAGGTAAATTTTGCTTCAACTGATTTAATGGAATATTTTCCCTGAAGAAAATTCACAAGTCCTCATTTAGAACATACTTGGGACTGACATCTAAGCAGATATATGCACACCCATGTTTATTGTGGCTTTGTTCGCAATAGCAAGGAGTTGGAAACAACCCAAGTGCCCATTAACAAACAGATGGATAGAGAAGCAGTGGTATATTCACACAATGGAATACTACGCTGCATTGAAAAACAAGGAACTCATGCAATATTATTCAAAATGGGTGAACCTGGAGGACATTATGCTGAGTGAAATATCTCAGTCACAAAAGGACAAATACTACATGGTGCCACTGTTGTAAAACAGGACTGACCTTGGGTTTGGGGAGAGACTGAGAAAGATGGATTCAATAATGTATACTGCATTGAAACAGATGAGGGAGAAAACTCTTTAAAAGGGATATGTGATTAGGTATTATTGTCATGACAGGAGTCTAGAGTGAAGGTTACATGGTGGAGTGGACCTGGGGGAGGGACTGTAAAACAATGCAAGAATTTTACTTTTCCAAGAGGGTAGTGTACTGGGGGGGAGGGTTGGGAGAGGAGAAAAGTACAATAATGAATGAATGGAAATCCAAAGTCTCTGTAAGTTTTCATTGAAATTAATAATAATTTTTTAAAAGAAAAGAACATACTTGGGGTGTTTGGAAATAACCCTGAGGTTCTTATTTGTTGATGGTAGGCAAGCTGTGTCATTCTGGTGCAAGTAATCTCTCATTTAGTCTGTTTTCCTTTTCAGAAAGTTAAAATTCTTTTTATGTTTCTCTCCATAGAGTTGTCGCTTCGGTTGCCAGCAAGTCATCTACAACTCATAGTGATCCTAAGAACAACAGATCTGAACCTCGTCCTGCCTTGCCTTGTGTTCATGGTCTCTGACATGCTCGGGCCATTGTTACAGTCACTGTGCCAATTCATCTTGCTCAGGGTCTTCCTCTCACCCTCCACCTTCCCCTGCTTGATGCCTTTTCCCAAGGCCTGTTCCTCCCTGACAACATGCTCAACGTACAGTCAGTCGCACACCTCATTTCCAGTCATCCCTCACTCTTAGAATTACTTCTGTCTTTTTAAAAATCAACCTAGGATCATACATTTTTGTAACCGAGGCTTTTCCAACCATGGAATTTTTGACATTTGAGACTGGTTAATTTTTTGCTGAAGTTCAGGAGCCATGCAAATCGTTAACATTCTTGGCTGCTAACCAGAGGATTATAGAAGGGAGCCCTGGTGGCCTAGTGGTAAAAAGCTGCACTGCAATTCCTAAAGTTTGACATTCAAATCCACCAGCAGCTCTGGGGGAGGATGGGCAATCTCCTCCTGTGTGATTAACTGCCTTTGAAAACCTTTGGAGGGTTAGTTTTGAGTCGATTTTGATTCAAGGGTGCAGAGAAGAAATTGATTCAGGAAGTGACTGATATAAGATTACAGACATCTAGAGACACCAGGAAGAAAGGCCTGGTGACCTATCTCTGAAAAATCCGCCATTGGCACCTCTGTGAAGCACAGATCTGCTCTGGCATACATGGGTTTTCCATGAATCAGGATTCACTGCACAGTACCGATTTTGGTTTCTTAATTCTTTGTTATAAGGGGTTGCGCTATGCGTTGTAGGATGTTAGCAGCATCCCTCGCCTTTTACCCACTAGATAGGAGTAGACTTTTGACAACAAAATTGTCCCTAGAGATTGAAAAATGTTTCCTGGGGCCAAAATTTCTCCAAGTTGAGAAGCACTGATGTAACCTAAGTGACGTTCATTACCTTTTCTGCCTTGGTCCATTCATCCAGAACATCTTTGGCAAAATTGAAATATTCTGGGACCTCCACTTTGAAGTCTTGTCTCATGGATTCATAATTGGAGAAATTCTGAGGGGTTAGTGTTCTGTAATCCTTATATAATGCTCTCACAGAACCAGGGATTGCCAAGTGCTGAAAACACTTGGCACGAAGCAGTAGTTCCATGGTGACAAGAGGTGGTATTAGTGTGGTTGGATACGTTGGCACTCAGGATTTCCACAGTGGACAATTAATCTGAAAAGACAAACAAAAAGGACGTGTGTTTGATTCTGTACTAAAAGTAGCCAGGTGCTAAAGCAGTTAAATTGTATTATTACTCATCTTGATAATAATAACAATTGTTACATATTTTTGTTAGGTGTGTTCACGTTGAGAATGACTCACAGTGACGCTATGAGCAAGAGATAGTTGCCTCATCCTGTGCCATATTCATCATCTCTGACATACTTGAGTCTGTGGCACCAGTTACAGTGCCTTGAGGGTCTTCCTCTCTTGCACTGATCTGGTTCCTTTCTAAGCATGACGTTACTACTAATATCATCTTGTTATTGTTGTTAAGGTGTTATTAGGTTGATTCTAACTCATAGTGACCCTTTGTAGGACAGAACAAAGCATTTCTCAATCCTTCACCATCCTAAAAACCATTGGTATGGCCGAACCCACTGTTGTGGCCGTTGTGTCTATACATCTCATCAAGGATCTTTGATTCCAACTCAGTGGCAGTGAGGTTTTGAGTTATACTTTGCCAAGCATGATGTATAGATGATAGCTAGTTGGCCAACCGACTGGAAGAGGTCCATAACCGTACCCATAGTAAAGAACAATGTTCCAAGAGAATAAAGAAATTATTGAACAATATCATTAATATTACATACAAGTCATATTTTTCTGACCGTAATTTGAAAATAGTTACAGCAGTACATTAACATGAAATGGCTGGAAATTCAAGCCAAATTCAGAAGAAGATCTGGAGTAAGGCGCATCATTGCTGTTAACTGTATGGATCCTGACTAAACGCAGAAAATACTAACAAGAGGTTTACCTGTGTTTTACTTGATCAAAACAAATTATAGATAATATTGTGAGGCATGGGAATTCCAGAACTCCTGACTAAATGCAGAAAATACTATAAAGATGTTTACCTGTGTTTTACTTGATCATAACAAATTATCTATACATAATATTGTGAGGCATGGGAATTCCAGAACTCTTAATGATACTTATGTGGAGTTGGTATCGACCAAGAGGTTGATCAGAGCAAGGAGAAGCTGCAAGTTTTAAAATCAGGAAAGTGTATTATCAGGGCTGCATCCTTTCATTATACTTCTTCAGTCTGTATGTTGAGCAAATAATCCAAGAAACTGGACTGTTTGAAGATGAATGCAACATCAGAATTAGAGGAAAACTCATTAAGAACTTAAGATACGCATGTGATACAGTTTTGTTTTCTGAAAGTAAAAGTTGAATCTCTTCCTAATGAAAATCAAAACCTCCAACCTTCAGTATGAACTACACCTCAACAGAAAGAAAACAAAAATTCTCACAACTAGACTGAAAAGCAACATCATGATAAACAGTCTTGAGAATAGTCCCATTTTCTGAGCACTCATAATCCTCCAAAGGCTATTTATTCTCTATGAAATACATACAGTTTGTCAGTAAATCCTCAGAGCAACCCTAAAGTTAGTGCTGTGATTGTCATCCTTGATTACGGATGGAGAAAATGAGGCTTGGTGCAGCTCAGGTTTCATAATTAGGAAGAGACAGAAGTTGGAATTGAACCCAGACTAGTTCCAGCCCGTTTCCTGACTGTTACACACACTTGCTTCGACTGTCCATTTGTTGTAGTGTGGTAACTGGAGTTGCGCTTGAAACTATGTCGGTGGTGTTTCACATACCAGCAAGGGTGTGGTTGGCAAGTTCCTGAGGTGCTTCCAGACCCAGACAGAATGGAAGAAAGGTCCAACTATCTATTTGCAAAAATGAGTCTGTTAAATCCTATGGGCCATAATATTGTCTGAGGTCATGCTGGAGGATGAGCTCTTTAGGTTAAAGCATTCAAAATACACAGTAGACTTAGGACACTGGGTAACATTTCCTTCTACTATTCATGGCATCACCATGCATTGGAGCCAACTGACATCAACAAATAGCATAACACGGCATTTCTGAACTGCATATCTGGATCATCCAGGCAGTTACTCACACTGAGAGCAAAGACTAGGTCTTTTTATCTATCTACTATCTTCCACCCACACATCTCAAACGAACTGGTTCCCAAATATTAAGGAGAGTTCACAGTGCAAATCTAACCCACAGATGAAGAAACTGAGAGTAGCCTAGTATCTAATTAGGTATGAGAGTGCAGTTAAAGATTTTGAATTTATAGGCGACAGTTCTCATGCTCCCAGTAGGAGCAGTCAGCTTAGGTTGCATTTACCAGAGATGTAATAATAGGGCTTCACCCTGTTTTTGTGGATGAGGCAACCCTGGCCAACACAGCACTCACACTGCTTCTGTGGGAAATCACCCGGTTCCTGTGTTCATTGCTTCACGGAGGTCTCCAAATGAGACTGTTAAAAATCAGTTCTAGGGATTAGGAGTGTGTGCAGTTTCCTGCTCTTTACTCTGGATAACTTTCCAGACTGTCTTCAAGGAGCATTAATTACTCTCACAACCATTAAATGGCGAGAGTAATAACATGGCTTATCTTTAACAGGAATTCTAGCTGTGTGGTGTGTAAGGCAGCATGGCTACTGGGAGGCATTACGTTCTTTATAAATTGCCAAGACAGTAATTAATAACAGAGGTATGTCTTAAATTTTGCTCCAGGTAGAACAGGTACTGGGGTATCGTGTTGATGTACCTGATGAATTGAGAGATCTGGGGACTTCTGATCCCCTCACCTACTTATGTGAGGGCCTGACAAATCAATGAGCTTAAATCAGCTGGTTTGGGCTTCCTCATTTTTCTCCTGTAAAGGAAACAGACAAGGAAAACAACTTGCCTCAGTGTGTCATGTCAGAGCTGGAACTAAAACTAAGTCTTTGGATTCCCACTTGTGTATTCTCTAACGCAGTGCTTTCTAACTCTGGATATGTATTAGAATTACCAGGAAACTTTAAAAATGGCTGGCGCTTGGGTTCCGGAACAATGAAATTATGAATTTCTAAAAGGGAGGCCAGGATATCACAGATTCTAAAGTTCTCCAGAAGATTCCCAAGGAAGAGGATCAGATGTCTTGAGGCCATCATCCCTAAAGCAGTAGTGTCATCATCATCATCATCTGGAAGATTGTCAGAAATGTACATTCTCAGGCTCCACCCAAGAGTGTTGAATGAGTAGATATTAACACTTAAATAAGATTCCCAGCCAACTGGTTCTTGGTTTTGCTATGTGCCATATGGATTACAACTCAGTGACCCTATGGACAATGGCTCTGATCTTTGCCCTATCCTGAGCCAGCCTCGCCTTCTCCAACACACCTGACTCCATTGCCGCAGTTACTGTGTCAATACAGTTCATCAGGGGTCTTTTGCTCCTGTGCTGACAGACCCTCTACCTTTCCAAGCATGATGTCCTTCTGCAAGGACTGGTCTCTCCTGGAACAAGCCCAAAGTATGTGAGATATAGTTTCAAAATCCTTGTCTCCAAGGAGCAACCTGGTTTCACTTTCTCCAGGACAAGCTGGTTTGTTCTTTTGGCAGTCCATGCTATGTTCAATACTCTTCCAGCAACACAACTCAAAGGCACTGATTCTTCTTCTGTCATCCTCAATCATTGTACAGCTCTCTGATGCACAGCATGCAATTGACAAGACCATGGCCGGGATCAGGTGTTCCTTAGTCTCTAAACTGACATTGTTGCTCTTTTGCACTCTGGAGTGCTATCCTTGACAGAAGACTTTCCAAATACAACTTGGGTTTTTATTTCCTGACTGTTAGTGCCAAGAGTGTTGACTGTGGATCTGAGCAACCTCTATCTTTTCTCCATCTGTCATAATACTGCCAACTGGCCTGGTGGTGAGAATCTTGTTTTCTTGATGTCAAAATGCAATCTGTATTGAAGGCTGCAGACCTTGACCTTCTGCAGCAGATTCTTCAAGTCTTCCTCCATTTCAGCAAGCAAGGTTGTGTCATCTGCATAACACAGGCTGTTGATGAGAATCTTCCTCCAATACTGATGTTACATTCTTATTCATAAAGTCCAGCCTCCCAAATGATCTGTTCTGCATATAGACTGAAAAGGTCTGGAGAAGAGACACATCCCTGACAAATTCCTTTCTTATTTTTGAACCATGCAATGTTCTCTTTCTTCATGCAGACAACAGCTTCCTGGTCTAGTTATGGATTTCACATGAGCACAACCAAGTGTTCTGGGATTCCCATTCTTCTCAATGTTAGCCGCAGTTCATTGTGATCCACACAGTAAAAGGTCTTTGCATAGTTGATAAAATACAAATAGACATCCTTCTCCTACTCTCTGCTTTCAGCCAAGATCCATCTGACATTGGCATTGATATCCATAGTGCCATGGCCTCTTCTAAACTATGTTGTATTTCTGGCCGTTCTCGATGTAGTGTTCCAGCTTTGGGGGGATAATCTGCAGCAGTATTTTGCTTACACGTAATATTAATGATATTGTCTCATCATTTCCACATCCTACTGGATCACCATTTTGGGGAGTAAATATGGATCTCTTCCTGTCAGTTGGTGAGCACATCAAGGCTGCGTGTATCTGTTGAAATGTATCAGTTGGTGTTCTATCAATTCCTGGGGCCTTATTTTTTGCCAATTCCTTCAGAGTAGCTTGAACTTCATGTGAGAAACCTAAGTCTATAGCTTGGTTGCTAAATGCATTGGCTCCTGAATGATACAGTTATGAGATAGGGTCTCAGTTTTGCCATTTGAACTACAAATTGCTCTCAGTGGCTGTTTCATATTTTACCAATGGGTAAAGCAGTACAACCTTCTGCAGGGAGTTGCCTGGGAGATTAAATGTAATAATTTATGCAATGTGATTCTTTCTGTGCTTAACATATTACTTTCCACTAGAACAGGAGCTAACAAACTTTTTTCTGAAAAGATAGTAAACATTATGGTTTTGCAGCTATTAGAATGTGTGCATCATTGCAGAAAATTCTATTGGATTGCACAGGCCAGTAT